CTGGCTTGAAGAGAGCCCCCTGTTCAGACAAGCAGGAGCCCCTCCCTTTCTGGCCCAAGCGCGTGTTGGCAGCTGGGACGCGTATCCCCCCCCGGGGGGGGGGGTTGGATAACGATGCTGAGGAAACAACGAACTCCCTTCGGGAGAGGAGGTGGCGCGGCGCCGCCAACGAGCCCGGCCACTGACTTACCCCCTTTGCCGCCGACGGCACTCTGCCCCTTGAAAGGCTTCATGGCGGGAGAAAGCCCTCCGGGGGGGGGCGACCGGGACGGGGACCGGGACGGCACTCCTGCCCGTCCCTCGGCGCTAAAGCCTCCCTCCGTCCATGGGCCGAGGCAACCTTTGGCGGCGGCGTCTGCTGCCTCCGCCTGGCCTTGAAAGGGACGGCGGGGGGGCACTCTCTTAACCCCCCTCCCCGCCGCCCGTGTCGCGGCCTTTCAGATTCGGGGCTGGCCTTTGAAGGCCTCTCCGCCCCTTTCCAGGTATACGTAATGAGGCTGACGGAGGGGGCTGAGGAGGGAGACGGCCCCCTCGGCTCACCTCTCCGTTCCGTGGGCAGGAGAGCGAGCGAAGCCTCGCTCTGTGGCCCCAAAAGCTCTCTCCCCCCCCCCAGTTCCTTATAGCGGGGACACACACGCCGCAGCCCCCGGGCTACTTTGGTAGCGGTGGGAGGGCAGCTAGGCTATCAACCCGGGCTTCCCTCCGGCACCATACAGTACTGTACTTGGATCTGGATACCTCCAGTGTAATATTCTGGAGGAATTCGTAGAGGGCCGCGAACTCTGCACAGGTTCAGAGGGCTTATTTCAGCTGTGCATACTTCACTGTGCTGCAGAACTGAGCGGGAGTTAAAACCGGGCGGCAAGCAAGCCATGGATGAGTTCTGAGGGATGGAATCGTGGAGACCCTGTTCTGTTTTACGTACTAAAAAGGCAAAGCCAGGGGCAAAGCCAGGGCTTCTGCTCGCTCAGGTGTACACACTAGATGTGAAGACAGCGAGCATCTTTTGGCAAAGCCAGGGCTTCTGCTCGCTCAGGTGTGAAGACGGCGAGCATCTTCTAGCTTGTCTCAGAAGTCACTTTGCAAGTCCACAGGTGTTCACCTGGCAATTTCAAAAACAACGACTCACCCACCTCACAGTTTCCCCCAGGGCTCTCCTTCCCATCTTTCCTGAATTTCCCTAGTTCCACTGGTGATACCTACTAACTCCTGCCTACTTTTCCCAAGAAAAAAGGGTTATGTTCCAAGTGGGGATTGTTTGTGGGCAAAATGGTGCCTGAAGTCATCATTCTAAACTGTGGCTTGTGTAGCTTGTATTCCTCTTGAATTTAATGGCAAGACAGGCCTGGGGGTTGTTTTGCCACTGCATTGCTTCTCAGTTGCAACTGGTCATAAGATGGAAGCTTCGGCGTTTAAAACCAAACCATGTTCAAAAGCTGCTCCTTCCCTTCCACTAAAGGTATGAAATTGTTAGCGCTGAACTCCAAATACTTTTATTAAAAAGGGACAGATCCCACCTTGTGTCACAATGCTTCTTATCCCTTTAACTCAAACAATTGCATAAAACATGACCAACTATCTCCTTAACTCCACATATTTCACACACTTAGTTCCTCCAGGCAAAGCATTTGTTCTCCAATAAGTACCTGATTGCTTGCTTATGATATCAGTGTTTTCTGCATCCTCCAGATAACAAAAGGCTTGGCTTTGGACAAACAGTGACAAAGAATGACAAGAATGTGAGCTTCTTTGCCTTTTTTCAAATCTGCCACCAGCTCAATTTTTAAAAATGTTTTATTTTGTGTTGGGAGGGTGAAGTTCAGGCGCCAAGAGCTTCTAAAGCCAGAAGTTTTTGATTTTAGTGCAGATCAACCACTAAAGATTCCACTATACTGGATTTGATTTGCAGTCTCCATAACATTGGAAATTGCAATCAGTACTCATGCAGAGGCTGCGGACTGATGTGGGAGTTCATTCTTCATACTGGATGCAATGCAAGTCGCATTGGAGACCACAGCCACTCCCTCCTTCCTTCCTCTGGTCCTATCTCTGCTGGTCCTTTTATGTTTCACTACGAAGCCAATTTCTCATTTAAAACTTCTGGGGGGGGGGGGATTTATCGAAAAATAACATGAAAAGGTACTTGACAGTATAAGAGTACAGAACATCAAAAATCTAAACAATATAATTCACAAATCAAAAAGATTCCTTAACAAGGATCGCCACCTTCCCCTTCCATCCTTTAATCTTTTCCCTTACTTTCAAGTAACACATGTAGGAATTACCTCATCTCTGGTAGCATAAGTTTTTACATTATTGCATGATAAACTGTGACAATAAAAGAATTCATATACTTCAAAATTACCCGTCTGATAAGCAGAGAAAATTCCAAAATCATGTAATTGTACTCTAAGTGATTTTAAAAAAGAAAACACAACAGAGAAGATCATTTAATAATTCTTTAAGCACTGTGAAATATTTCTGGTTATTTATAAGGAAAAGACTGTTTCTTTAAGAAAAGAGAAGTAGGGAAATAAGTGTAGAGAAAAACCTCTCTTGGTACTTTTAAAAAAATAGAGTCAAACAAATTAACATACAAATGGGGAAATGACAACGAAACACATAGAAATTAATACAAGTTGAATACTGTATGTGTACATCTCAAGTAGGTAAGATTTACTTTATGCCTTTTGGATATAGCCTGTGTTGTTTACATGGGTGAATAGGCCAGCCATTAGTGAAGTCAGCTTATCTACATTAGTTAAATATAATTCAGGTGGCAGAAAACCCTCTCCATCTTCAGTGACTGTATGAGCAATGTTCTTGTTTCAGCTTCTTCCCCTTTAGGTAAGTTTGCATAAAAGTTTATCCATATTGAGGCTTTTATATAGGTATTAAAGTTTTTTTTCCTTTCAGTCTGCCAGAAACTTGAGTGCTAAATTTGTTCTTGTTGCTGCCAGCTCAAGATTAGATCAGAATTCAGACTGGAACTGAGATTTCTTAGCAGTAATTAATTTTTCTTCACTGAGTTTTACGTAGTACTCTGCTCTCTGGGATCAAATGAAATATGTGCTCTGTAAATCTGTCTTCTCAGCTTCCTTCTGGATACTCGGCATTCTTTATCAAGCCTTAAGGGCTTCACGGGATTTGTTTTGTTTGGCCTTGAGTTAATTATTAAAAAGGGGTCTCAAATAGTCACATAAGTCCTGATAGGTTTGCAGCACTTAGTCAACATTAGAGTGAGGACTTAAGTTGCTATCATAGTCATTTATCCATAATCAAGTTTTCAGGAGTATTTAATTTGCTCACACAAATTTTCTCACTGTTCTGGTCAGTGTTAATTACACTGCTCTGAAAAGCAAACTGATTGATAGAAATAATGATCAACTTGCTTCACTTGTCTTGACTCTCTGACTATCCAGAAATCCCCCAAATTTGTACAAGAATGCTGTTCGCCCTTTGGTTTCCCATATATACGATGATTTCCTGTAAATATCATCATCCCTGGAAGGAAATTACCCTCCATACACCATTTGTAGCCAAAGGATGTCTATGAGGCCTCACAATGAGTTCTTCGTTACTTCTGATTTTCTCTTTCCTTGGGAGTAGTCCTGATTTTCTTTTGGAAGGATTGGCTTTGGGACAAAGGACAGGAGAACAGCATTGCTGTGGAACAGGGCCCATTTCACAGAAAAGCAGCCTGGATCCAAACCCTGTAAGGTACAAGACATGTTCTTCAGCTGATGGGAAATGGTGGCCACAATCCTGTCAGATTCAATTTAGATCTAAGTGGACAATAGCCAAAAGAAGCCTTGTGTGTCCAGAAGAGGGAAGCTAGTTGGGGACATTGGATCCCTGCACAACTATCTGTGCAAGGAGGAGGTCTCAACAGACATCATGAATGGGAGTCCAGATACAGGAGGGAAAAAGATTTTGCTGAAGAAGAATCAACATGGATTCTGTCTCACCTTTTAAAATTGGTTGTATATCCACAGCAACAGAGAGGATCAGTATGGACATGGACATTTAGAGTCCCTTCCCTTCTCAGGGGCTACTCAGCAAAACGTAGCAATAGGGAGAAACAGAAGATATTTCTTTAGGGGCTGATAAAAACTGATTTTAAAAAAAAGGTGAAAAAAAGAACTCTAAAAGTAGTGTTCTCACAATGGCGGGATATGCCAATGATTCTGTCTCTGTTACCCTGTGTATTAATATTCTAGAGCTATAGATGATGAATGAGGCCAGAGATGTGAAGGGTACCAAATTATTCAGGTTGCAGAAAGAAAAAAAAAGCAAAGAGCTGCGGAAAGATTTCTCGAAACTGGAGGAATGGGTAACATAATGGCAAAATTGTAGCTCAGTTTAATAACTGTACAAAGTGATGTACTGTACATTGTGGTGAATATTTCATACGCACAATTTGTGGTCCTGGGATGTCCACCTGCTTAGATTGTCCATTAGCTGATTGCATTCTTGTATTAATAGCTATTGGAAAAATGTAGCAAACCAGGCACCACTCCCAGAGATGTCCTTTGAGGAACAAAAGAGCCATGGCATGTGTTCCACTCTGTTTATATAGTGCATGACAGTGGTGTTCAAAAGTTTTGAGAGCCTTGAACACTGCCAGCTACTCCAACTTGTTTATGTGCCATTGACACTCTGCTGGGGACCAGAGCACATGAACTTGGTGGTTCATGCCATGATTGCCCCAACCTGTAAGGCTTGTGTTGCTTGTTATCTGGATCTTGGGCCTCAGAAGCTTGAATGGCCTTCCCATGGACAAATTGGAGGTTGTTAACCATCACTGGAATTATAGATCTAATTCAGGCGCCACTGCCATGGTTTTCATGGATGAGTCTGTCAGCATGTCAAAGGATGCCAGGTATCATGCTTAGAGGGACCTCATTTTGAATCATGCATATGGCATAATGGACACTGTTGAGGCCATAAGTCCCACTAACCTTTGGATGATGAAAGCTGTCACTTTTGCATGGGGTTTGAATGCTTTCAGTAAAGCTATGAGTTTCTATTTCCTGTCTGTGATTGGGTTCCTTTTGTAAGGTAGGCGGGCCTGGGGATTCGGCGGGAATGACAGCCGGAGTCGAAGTAACCATCAAAAAAGGATTCGTTTTATTAACATTACTATTAAACATTTCTGAACCAAACGGGTTCGCTTTCTCTTCATTATCAAACAAGTTATATTTCTTGGGTTTTACCCCAGGTCCCATATCTTTAACTGTTACATTTTTTTCATCCCAAAGCGGGAGGTTGTGGGCTGAGCGGTGAGGGGTGCACTCAGCACCGAGCAGGTGGTCCGACAACATGGGTGGATTACTGCTGGACCTTCCAGACGAGGGAGGTAGGGGCTGACTCCACCAGGGGTCCCTTTGATCATCATAAGGGAAGAACTCGACCCCCCTCCCTGTCTCCATTCCTTATGAGGCTCACCTCCCAGGGGTTTATCAGTTGCTGTTGGTAGCGGCAACAGTCC